AATTTAAATAATATTTTAAAAATTCACAGTTAAAATCCATTAAAACATATTCAAAGTTAAAAGCCAAAGGTGCTGCAGAAGCAGATTCAGGTTATTGCATGACTTAAAACATTTCTGAAGGCCCCTTGAACCCCTAAAGCACATTTTCAAAAACAACTGTTTCAACACAAGCCACAGCTTGGTTTGCAGTGAGTTTATAATAATGTCATGCAATTTTGTTTTTGTTTTTTTGTTTTGTTTTGTTTTTTCATTTGTGGCTAGGGAACATCCAAAGCTGATCACAAGCCTTATGCTATAACATTCTGCAACTGTATATTACTTTTGTAACAAATGCTCACAAGTTCCAATAATGTTCAGTCTCATGGTATATGTATTTTGTACCAGTGGGATAGATGAGACATTAAAAATGTAATGTAATTCTAATTTATTAGCATTAGTACACTATGTCACCCTATTATTACCTAACATCATATATGTCTGGTATAAAGTCAAATTCAGTAATTATTGTTCATTATATTACTCTGTACTGTATTATATTATATTACTGTCTTTACTGATCCTTCAACTTCTCTGTTCACTGAAACTATTTGCATTCTGCAGAGTCAATCTTGTCCTGCAATGTAGTTTACATTGGAGCACATTGTTGTACATTAAGGTTTTATTTCAGACTTCCCCCTAACATTGCTTAACGCAGTTTAAAAGGCTTAAAATGGGTTGCAATGTGCTTTCGTAACGTTACACTTTGAAGCTGACTCCAAACTAAATTAAATGTTCAGTATAGATGGGGTCAAAAAATGGATAACTCAGGGGACAGAATTGTACATGCCATATGTCTTAGGATGTGTTTACACTGCAAATTAATACAGTTTGACACCACTTTAACTGCCATGGCTCAATACGAAATAATCCTGGTATTTGTATTTTGAATGAGGCACCAGCACTCTTTGGCAGAGAAGGCTAAAGGCTTTGTAAAAATACAGTTCCCATGAGTCCATAGTCATGGAGCATAAAGTAGTGTCAAATCGTATTAATTTCTGAGTGTAGATGCAAGTTTAGCGAGCAATTCCTAAGCTAGCCTTTTGCCCTCTAGCGTGGCAGAGAGTTATGTTCTATTGATAATTTAGAAACAATATTCCACTGACATAAAATAGTGTGTGGGGGGCGAGGAAATCTTGCCCTTTGCCTCAAATAAAACCATATCATGGGCAACAAAATGTGTTGACCTTCTCAATTTTACAGTAGCCTTTAGTTCTTCAGGTCACTGACCGGCAATATAAATACATCCCAGCCTCTGACATTAGTTGTTTTCCTCTCGTTCTGTATGCTTTCCCTTGCCACAAGGTAAAACCTATTTGACTCATAGCCCCCTTTGGAGCAAGAACCTATGTTTAATGTTATGTTTCTACAGAGGCAGACACCTTGCTAGCAGCTTATTATAAATAATTATTAGGAATACATTTCTGCTCCCTGCTGTGCTAAAGGCGGGTGTTCATTGTGACTTTTTTAAATAGTGTAATTCATGCCATGTGTATTCAGAAGGAAGCTTCCCTGTTTTCAAAAGAGTCTGATTACTTGGTAACTTTGCATACGATTCCAATCTGAGTTTTGTCGTTTCGGGATCTCACCTGTCTGCTCTGCATTATTTATTCGATAGATATTGGAGCAATTTATATAGTAGGCTCTTGGCTTTATGGATCGTAGCAGACTAGGAAATCATATCTCCTTTACAAAAATTCAGCATCACATAGCAATTCCCCCTTCCCCTTAAAGCAAGACCCTCTCCTTACCCTATTTAAAAATTGCAAACATTTTTTTTCTCCCAAAGCCCTGCAAAATGTGGCATTTTGTTCTCACAGTTCTGTCCCCCAATGACCCCAGATGTACAAAAGTATGACTGAAAAGTTGAGAAATGGCCAAATCTGAAATGGGTTTTGATTTATCATTTCCAGTCATAATAGGACCAACCGGTACAGCCTACGGGGTTATGACAGAAGGACTCAATTCCTTCAAAGTTGTGCATCCCTATCTAAAAGTAATCTTAATGTTACAGGAGGTTCTTTTGAGTGGAAATTTTGGCTCCAGCCTAGCTCTAAACACATCACCTGATGGGACAGATACCTACTAAAGCATTTGGGTCTCTTTTTAGAAAGAGAAAAACAGGGGGAGAAGGAGAAGAATGCATGCAAAGCAATGTCTTAAATTCCACAAGATGTTAAGTATTACAGAATTGCATAGTGCTACTTTAGTCAGGGGTGGAGTTATGTAACCCTCTAAATCAGTGTTAATCAACTTGGGGCTCGGGACCCCTGGGGAGATCGGGAGGGAGGTTCAGAGGGCTCACCAAAGACCATTAGAAAACACAGAGAAAGCTGAAGATTTCTCTGCCTGTCCTTCTCTTCCTTTTTGGAATCAGATGGCGAAACCTCCCACCAAAATCCCTTCTCCTGCTGTGATTGGCCGGCCTCTCAGCTGGCCTCTCAGCCAAGGTGAGGGCTGTTTCTGAGACTCTAAGCAGGGAGGGGAGAGCGGGCATGCTCAACGCATGGCAGCATGGTGCACATGCACAGGTGGTGGAGAGCATGCAAGGCTGGAGGGAGGCTCATGCCAATGAGTCCCTTCAAGGCAGGAGAAAAAGCACCTGCAGGACATGGGACTCAGAGTGGCCCAGCAGCATCCATCATTGCTTGGATTCACAATTCTCTCTGGATGTAGGTGAACTATATCTCTCCTAAATCACTGCCAGTTCCTCCCAATTTACCTACAGTATTTTCTGATGGTCATGGGGGTTCTGTGTGGGAGGTTTGGCCCAATTCTATCATTTGTGGGATTCAAGGGGATCTTTAATTGTTGGTGAACTATAAATCCCAGCAACTTCAACTCCCAAGTGACAAAATCAATACCACCCCCCAACCCTACCAGCATTTAAATTTGGGAGTCTCAGGTATTTATGCCAAATTTCATTCAGTGAATGAAAATACATCCTGCACAGGCATGTAGCCGGGGGTAGCTGGGTCTTTGGGGTCTTCAGCCCCCCCCCAAATTCTCATGGTGGTCTGCGAAAAGGCCTTACTGGTACATTATTTAAACTGTTATGTTTATTCATATCATGATCTGATCATCATGCTCAATATATCTCATATGTATGGGGGTATTTCACTCAGACTCAGCCCACCCACCCCAAAATCAAACTCAGCTCCCCTCCCCTCAAATCAAAATCCTGGCTACGGGCCTGATCCTGCATATCAGATATTTAAGTTATTTATGTTCATAACAGTAGCAAAATTACAGTTATGAACTAGCAATGAAAAAAATATGGTTGGGGGTCAGAACAAATGTGAAAATGTTGTTCTGTTTTAATTTTTAATTGTATGTCGTCTTATTGATAATGTTATATGTTTATCATCTATGTTTTATTTTAATTGCTTGCATTGATGTGATTATTGCTTGTATTGTTGTGTTTGGGCTCGGCCTCATGTAAGCCGCACCGAGTCCCTTGGGGAGATGGTAGCAGGGTACAAATAAAGTGTTATTATTATTATTAAATGTATTAAGAGGTCACCGCATTAGGAAGGTTGAGAACCACTGCTCTAAATATTCTTATGCTGCCACTTCCAGCATAGGCAGTGGTGAGAAATGTTGAGTGATGTAGTCCATTCTCATCTAGAGGATTACATGGTTCTTATTTAAGTTAAATGCATACACAAGCTATGGAAAATAAAGCATTGCTTGTAGTTATTCTAGCTACCGTATTTTCCGGCATAGAAGATGACTGGGGGTATAAGACAATCCCCAACTTATCGATCTGAAATTGAGTGTTTAGGATATACTTGCTGTATAAGACCATCCCTCTTTTTTGTAGTAGTTTGAGAGAACTTTTTTCTCTCCAGGCGTGAGGGTCATCTTCTGCCGTAGGCTCATGGCAAGGGAAACCCAGGATAGGCCAGTGGCAGTGGTGGGAACAACCCAGTGGTCTCCATGGCAAAGCGGTTTGCCACTCCTCCTCCCTCCGCACTCCTCCTCCTCCTTCTGCCGCACCTGAGGAAAAGGAGAGCTATCTTCACTCCAGGGTTGAGGGTCATCTTCTGCTGGAGGCTCATGGGGAGGCAGAGCCAGCACTAGACCGGTAGCAGCAGGAACAACCCAGCGGTCTCCATGGCAATGTGGCTTGCCACTCCTCCTCCCTGCACCCTCCCTCCCTCTGCCCTCTGCCCTCTTCCTCCTCCCCCTCCCTCCTCCCTCCTCCCTCCCTCCTCCTCCTCCTCCTCAGGCCGTGCCACTCAGGATGCCGAGAGGAGGTGGATAGCTGCCCTCCCGCTGGAGCTGGGCTCCTGAAGCAGCTGCTGCTGCCGCACCCCTCTGGCACCACTTGGTTCCCTCTGTCGGGCTTCAGTCTCCCTGAGGGGCTCCTCCACTCTATTCCCACCTCGGCAGTGGCAGCGGAGAAAGAGGAGGCAATGTGAGGGAGCAACTGTGCGACAGAGAGGAGGAGGAGGAGCTGCCTGGAAGACTTGAGGCTTTTGCTTGGCACTCTTGCCGAAGTAAGCACCCACCCTTTAAGCAACATTTGCTCATCCCTTCCAAAATATTTAATATAATAAATTTTATACCCGGCATATTACACGACCCCTGACTTCTGAGAGGATTTACCAGGGTTAAAAAGTCGTCTTATATGCCGAAAAATACGGTAGTTGAAACAGCTTTGTTCCTTTTTAAGAAATACACAGAAAAGAGCAAGAAAATAGCTCAGTTCAATGTTTCATGTTATGCTCATTTCAAAGAAACAAGTAATGCCTTTTGAAAATTCATTCCCACATGCCCACTGCATAGCCTTACTAGAGTTAAGGTGAAAGGTTAGGATAAACATTAATATAGTTGCGTTCTGGAATTTGTGCCAGAAGGAGCACCAGGCACTCACAATCTTGAAATAAATATTTTTAGATGAATGCCACTGGTCATGTAGTTCAAGGAAGAAGAAAATCCAAATGCTCAGATAATTACACAGAAAGATTTATTTTCCTGAGCCATAGAAAGAAGGTAATTTGATGTGCACGTGCTTGAAGCAAAGGGCACATTTCACTTTCACACTTACTTGCCGGATAGTTTTCAATCAATAGAAATGCCTAATCCTTTTGTAAATACTGCCCATATCTTGTCTAATTAAAACTTGTCATACTGATTATGATAGTCAGCTAAGGAGTCTTGGAGAATGCACTGGTACGGCAAAAGCTTCCTGGCAAATTCTTCAGCGACACAAAAGATAACAAGATGCTGCTCACAAAACACTTTGCACAAATAATCACTTGAAAATGAACCAGGAGAAACATGATTAGAAAACGTTGATTAACTGAGCCAACTTAATGAGAAATTTGAACATTTGTGTAATTGTACTAGCAGTTTTGGAATGAGTTCTAATTCTAATTTAACTGAAACCATCATTGCATCTCAACTCATAATGTCCCCCCTTGGCAACCACAAACTGCATTTGTTCCATCTTTAAGGAGCTGATAAACCTTTCACAGAAGCCAGTAGTGCAATTTTGTCATGTATTTTCATTCATTTTGCTTGATTAGCGGTTTGTCTTTGAGAAATCTGTTGGAAGATTCTAGCTCCCTCTGTTGAGTATTTGATTTTTTTGGAAATGTTGACAGACTTCGAGTATCTCATCTGACTCCTTTCACTGTGTTAAAAAAAGAAAACAATTTAATTAAAATAAGGACAATTAATGCCAACACAGCCAGAGACTGCTTGCCCACAGAAGTTTTAGACAGATACGTTCCTAATTGAAAGTAGTTATTCTTACTGTTGTTCTTGCCTTCTCTACCTGCTACTCCTTTGCTGAGCTGGAACTTGGAAGCTTTCTCAACTCAAAGTTTTAGAGACCTCACTGCCCTAATAATAATAATCATCATCATCATCATCCTCTCATCATCATCATCATCCCCCTATCAGGTGCCGCTTTGTTATTGGCGGGGGGAGGGGTGGATTAACTGCTTCTATGGTGTTGAGAGCTATATTAATGGTAGTTCAAACTACTAGTAGGTTCAACCAAGCCAGAGTGCTCTCAACTGAGAAACAGAACTAAGTGCACCCAACTCATTTAAATAAGTTGAAACAAATCCTAACAGGTCTATACTGTCTCAGTTGTTGCCCAGGAATAATAAAGACCACAACGAGTGCTTCTCCTGGGCACCTATCAATAAACAGCTCAGAGGAAGATCTCAGAGGCTCACATGTCTTAACACTAATCCACAGAGCATGGGAAATAAACAAGATGAACTCCAACTTTTAGCACAACACCACAATTATGATGTCATCAGCATCACTGAAACTTGGTGGGATGACTCCTATCGCTGGAATGTAGACATCGAGGGCTATAACCTCTTTCACAGAAACTGAACAATGGGGAGAGGAGGCGGGGTAACCTTATATGTCAAAAACTGTTATGCTGCAGAATTGATGCAAGACTGCAATCTGGGAAACGAACTTGAGAGCATCTGGATAAGAATCAAGGAAACTGGGACTCAAAAAAATCTCATTGTATGTGTCTATTACAGACCTCCAAGCCAGAATGAAGAACTTGATGAAGCCTTCTGCCAACAGTTGACCAAACAGGCACAAAGAAGAGATATAATAGTCAACTATCTCAATATTTGCTGGAAAACAAACTCGGCCAAGAGTACAAAGTCCAAGGAATTCCTCACTTGCTTTGCAGACAGTTTTATGGTCCAGAAGGTAGATGAGGCAACAAGGAGATTGGCTACTCTCGATCTCATCCTAACAAACACAGAGGATCTGATCAATGCAATTGAAGTGGTCAGATCCTTAGGGGCAAGTGACCATGTGCTCCTGCAGTTTGAGGTACAAAAGAAGGCTGAAACAAAGACAAGTCAAACCCCATTTTGGACTTTAGGAGAGCTGACTTCCAAAAAATGAAGGAAATACTGAGCAGCATTCCGTGGACACAGATACTAAAGGGCAAGGGAGTTACAGATGGATGGGATTTTTCAAGAGTGAAATACTAAAGGCACAATTGCAAACAGTGCCAACAAAAAGAAAAATAGGACAAGTACAAAGAAGCCAGAATGGATGTCCAAAGAACTTCTAACTGTGCTAAGACTCAAAAGAGACATGCACAAGAAGTGAAAAATGGAAGAAATCAACAAAGAAGAATTCAAACAAATAGCCAACTCCTGTAGGGAAAAGCTTTGCAAGGCTAAAGCACAAAACGAGCTCAGGCTTGCCATGGACATTAAAAACAATAAAAAGGTCTTCCTTTCTTACATCAGTACAAAAAGGAAGAATAAGGAGGCAATAGGGCTTCTTCGAGGAGAAAAATGGGGCAATGCTGACAGGGAAAAGGGAAATAATAATAATAATAATTATTATTATTATTATTATTATTATTATTATTATTTTTATTTATACCCCGCCACCATCTTCCCCAATAGGGACTCGGGGCGGCTTACATGAGGCCAAGCCCAAACAACATATTACAGCAAAATAAAACCAAAAACATAAGCAACAAGCAAGAACATCATAATTACATAAAAGCATTACAATAAACATAATCACAATGACAATGGGCGGACCACATGTACAGGATAAAATGTTAAAAAAAACTTGGGTGAGATAAAAAGAGGAGCAAGTTATTTGCAGGAGGGAGCTTGTAAAAACAGGATTGTGGAACCAAGTTTTCCCACGAGGGGGGGGCATGTACTCCAGAGACAGAAGCTTGAGGGGAGCAGTAATGTCATATTGTGTACCTACTCACCAAAGGCGCAGCGGAAGAGCCAAGTTTTAAGGTTCTTTTTAAAGGTTTCTAGTGTAAGGGCTTTCCTGATCTCTCCAGGTAATGAGTTCCAGAGTCGGGGGGCCACAGAGGAGAAGGCTCTTTCCCTTGTGCCTACAAGACGAACTTGTGAGACTGGCAGGGGCAAAAGGAGGGCCTCTCCCGAAGATCAAAGGGACCGGATTGGTTCATGGAGAGAGATATGGTCACGAAGGTAGGCGAGTCCCAAACCGTTTAGGGCTTTATAGGTGATAACCTGCATCTTGAATTGGGCCCGGAAAATAAACAGCAGCCAGTGGAGCTCCTTAAACAGGGGGGGTCGACCGTTCCCTGTAACTGGCCCCAGTTATTAATCTGGCTGCCAAACGTTGGATAAGTTGTAGTTTCCGGGCCATCTTCAAGGGTAGCCCCACGTAGAGTGCATTGCAATAATCCAGTCTAGAGGTAACTAAGGCATGGACCACCATGGTCAAGTCAGACTTCATGAGGTAAGGTCGCAGTTGGCGCACGAGTTTTAATTGTGCGAAGGACTCCCCGGCCACCGCTAACACCTGCGCATCAAGCGTCAGACTCCAAGGAAGCATTGAATGTTTGCCTTGTATCTGTATATGTCTGAATATGCTGGATTCCACCTTGAGTCCCTTCGAGGAGATAGGGCAGAATACAAATAAAGTGTTGTTGTTGTTCTTGTTGTTGTTGTTGTTTAATTTACCCTAAAGGCACCAGATCCCATTCCCAGTTTTGAAACCTATCAGCCCTGGATAGTACTTGAATAGGAGACTGGCAACAATTACCCCTTCTGTCAAAAATCAACACATAACTTGAAGCCACATATGCACACAAAAGATATCTAGGCAGAGAGCAACACACAGTTCAAAATACTGAATCATTTACAGGCAGTGACATGATTTGGTTTTCTCATTTGACCTGAAGACCCATTTTCTTGACTTCGATTTGGCATTATGACATAACTGACACCCGAGTTAAAAACTAACATTGTGAAAAACAGCCTGGCTATAACTTTAAAAATTAGCTTGTTATTTTACTTTTTGCAAAAACTTTACATTTTTAACAGGAAATGCCAATTACTGTAAGCTTTATAGCAGCAATTAGTATCAATTAAGAGGCAACACTTGCAGGATCCTTTAGAGGATTTTAGAGTAATTTTGTTTATTTTGTATTTTATTTGTTTAAAATTACATTAAATGAACACATTTATTTAGAAAACCACTGGTCTAGAAAACGTTTCCTTTGTTGGTGGGACACAGTCTTTATACCAGGTGTAGACCACATTACTTCTGCTGTTCCCATGGGTGACCCTGATCCTTTCTTTTCTTACACCACCCAAATTATTTCCAGCTGCAAATGACAAATTGCATAACTGCAGTTCATCAGCCAGACTTAACAGCCTAAGAGGGAAATAGGGCAACATATATTGTACTATTGCCCAGCTAAATGCTGGACATACTACATAAAGGCATATCTGGCCATCTTTGGCCAAAAACAAAGGACAAGTGGGTGGGAGGAGAAGGAGAGAATGCTTCAGGAAAGCAGATGCAGCCCCAGAAATTTCTCTCCTGACCTTTTCCACTGTTGACCTTTACCTTCAACTGGAAAAAAGTTGTTAAAACCTTTAACGTGTCCATATACGCATCAAAGAAAACAGAGTATTAACAAACTGAAATTCTCACTCCTAATCCAACTGTGTCCAAGAACGTCATGCAGAGGATTTCAACAATAAAGCAGAGAGTTATGTAGAGATGTGCAAATGTTAGCTGATGACAAACATAGTACACAACCCTGTCCAAGTTGCTATTATTTTAAAAAAGCTAGAATGGTGGGAGGACTTTTTAAATTGTTTTGTTTGCAAAGACTGTTGCATGAACTGTCCTTGCAAACCTTAAATCCCACTAGTAATCACAATGTGCCAAGTTGTCTCTTTGTCCTCAAAGAGAGGAAGATACATGGCTAGAAGTCATAAGGATATCTAGTCCATTTATATTTTGTCATCATGATCAAACAAGATAATATGTTTGATTTAAAAGAGGACTGTAAATATAGTCTTACTAAGATATCTTTAAGCATTGGGCTAGGAAAGGCGATCAGAACACCTTAACTATATTTGATCCCATATCAAGAGTCTATGCTGTCTTTTCAGACCTACATGTTTTAAAAGGTGGCAAATACATCCAAGGCAGTAAATCATTTTGTATTTTCCATTTGTCCTTCTAATACCGTGGCTCTTGATGAAGATGTTGGTATTGTCTCCATAACCTTGTGCAGCTCACAAGTAGTGTACATATTTTATAAATAGTTATAAAGATTGTCTAGACTAGCCCTTGGACCTGAATGGGAATATTGAAAATAATGTGTGTAGCAATCTTTCAAATGCTTGCCTGTGATTTATCTCTGCATATTGGTTGTTGCTGTTATTTGACATCAGATCAGCTTTGACACATGGTGACCCTATGGACAAGAAACCTCTAGAGCTCAAATCATCAACAGATCTATTCAGGTTCTGCAAATTCAAGACCATGGCTTCCTTGATTAAATCAAGACACCTGTAGCACAATTTCTCTTTTAGTAATGCCCTTCACTTTTGCAAGCATTATAGCCTTCTCCAATGAATCATGTTGTCTCTTGATATATCCAGAGCATAATTGTTCAATCATTTTAGTGAGAGTTCAGGCTTAATTTCCTCTCAAACCCATTTATTTGTCTTTTTGGGAATTGATTACTTATAGAATTCTCCCCCAGTAACACATTTCAGACGAAATGACTTCTTCTGTCAGCTTTCTTCATAACCACACATAGAAATCAGAAATAATATGGCATGGATAAGTATGACATTTGTCTTTAATAATGTAGCTTTATATTTTAGGATCTCTTTGAATTTTATTAAGGAATGATGCCTGTTAGTTTATTACGTAATTTTAAAGGAACAGGAGAGAATAACCATAACCCTTGTGACACCAGGTGGTAATCATTAACTCGGGTATTTCCCAATTCAAACAATAGGGCTGCATTGGTTTCAGCCTTATTGACGGTATGCTTAATGCCATTACAAAAACCAATTAAAATGATTTAATTAATTACCATTATATTTATTTATTATTTATTTATATACAAGATTTATATACCGCTTTTCTCCCCTGAGGGAACTCAAAGCGGTTTCCAACATTATAAAGGCAAAATTCAATGCTGTATATACATGTGAAAACCAAAAGATAATAGCAAGATAATAACATCTAACTATAAATTAACCTAACCAAATTAAAACATAAACTTAAAAGAATATTTAGACATAAAGCAGAAAAAATAAACATCAATAACATAACATTTATATTAAAACCCACCAATAAACAACACAATTAAAAAAGTTATTAAAATCATGCCATCCAAAATCTAGTCCGTAGACGTTCCATTGGTTCATTCACTATTCCTTATTATCTTATTGCATTATGAGCTTTGCTGTCCGAAAGCTTGGTCACATAACCACATTTTAAATTTCTTCCTGAATGTCAGAGGGGAGGGGACTGCTCAAATTTCACTAGGGAGGGAGTTCCACAGTGAAGGGGCCATCACTGAGAAGGCTCTGTCTCACATCCCCACCAGTCATGCTTACGAGGAAGGTGGAATTGAGAGCAGGGCCTCTCCAGAAGATCTTAACCTCTGAGATGGATCATAGAAGGAGATATGTTCAGACAGGTAAGCTGAGCCAAAACTGCTTAGGGTTTTATAGATTAAAGCCAGCACTTTGAATTGTGCTTGGTAGCAGACTGGCAGCCTGTGGAGCTGGCATAACAAGGGAGTAGTATGCCCCCTGTACTCTGCCCCAGCTATAAATCTGGCTGCCGCCCGTTGGACCACTTAAAGCTTCCAAACAGTCTTCAAAGGCAACCCCACTTAGAGTACATTTCAGTAGTCTATCCTTGATGTAACGAGAGCATGGACAACCGTGGCCAGGTCAGACTTCCCAAGGTACAGGTGCAACTGGCACACAAATTTTAATTGTGCAAAAGTTCCTCTGGCCATCGCCATGACCTAGGGCTCCAGGCTCAACAATGACTCCAGGAGATTCATATGGTAATTAGCTACTATATACCACTATATAGTAATTAATTTGATATTATTTCTAATAAATATTAATAGCTCCAGAGTCCAAATCATTGGAGTTTTGAGCTTTCCATCAGTTGCTATGATCACCTGCATGTGTTCACTATAAGGTCAATGCTGCAGCCACAAATGTTTGTGTAGATTTATCAGCAGCATACAAAATAATTGTTTTCTGCAATCATCATTTCCAATCATCCATTCAGTACACACACAAAAAGGCAATCTACACAATGTATGTTTTTCATAAGGTGCCATTATTTCCCAACTTATATAAAAATGATGTGATGTGTGGAATTAGTTACACAACAAAGAGGCCAAGTTCAAAATGACCCTTATTGGAATGTATATTTGGAACATACACAAAGCTGAGGGCCAGGATGGTATCAGAATGCCGTAATTTCTAGAGTCGATTTTTATTTTTAGTGAGATACAATATAATTTTCATAGGCCCTTTATGAGTTTTATTCCACATCCATTTAAGACATTTTATCACACTGCATCATGTTACTGTGGTTCAGTACCACTGCAAGAACAGTAAGGAAATGGTGGAGAAATAAGACAAAGAAGGTTTCTTTTGAACCGCACCTCTTCTTTTCATTGAGAAAGTACAGAAGGCAGGCATCACAATCATGTACAGGCAGTCCCCCAGTTGCAAACATCCAACTTACAAACTACTAATAATTAAGAAGGGGGTGAGACAACAGGAAGTGAGTGAAATCTACCCCTAGGAAAGGAAATGCAGTTCTGAAATAGTTATAATGGGGGGAAGTGTGCTTCTTCACCAACCCTTGTTTCCACAACAAGCTGTTGTTTTTTTTTCAAAATCCAACTTTCACAGACATAGAAAGTGAGGTGAAATCTTCTGAACAGGGGCACAGACAGCAAAACAAACAACATGAAGATGCTAACCCTTCCCTATACTATCCATAGCTTATATATATATTAGCTTAGAGACCCAGCACTGCCCGGGTTATTTGAGAAAGGCATTGTTTGTCTGTGCTCCAAGTTGAGTCTAGATCCAATGTTGGCTGCATTCAGTGGGTGCAGGTGAACTATAGTTCCCATATGAAAGTCCCATCATCCACGATGACTCCTCCTCCAAACCACACCAGGATGTAGAGTGGGTCATGGGCACTCTGTGTGCCAAATTTGGTCCACACCTGTTATTGGTGGGCATCACAGTGGTCTGTGGGATGTGCAAATCCCATCATCCATTGTCCATCCTCCCCCAAACGGCATCAGGGCATATAGGGGAGTCATGGGGGTTATGTGTGCCAAGTTTGGTCCAGGTATGTCACCTGTGAAGGTTGCAGTGGCCTGTGGAAGCGGGAGCCAATCAGAAAGCTGCCACATACACACATACCAACATACATAAAAACATTTACTTTTATTTTATATAGTTACACTTTTAAAATGTACCTGTACTGACTTACATACACATTCAACTTAAGAACAAACCTATAGAACTTCTTTTGTTTGTAACTTGGGGACTGCCTGTATATACAGCTAGTACCAGCAGGAAAACTGATAGCAAAGCTCCACCCTTCATCTAGTTTGTCCCAAAGGCTCCAAACTACCATGCTCCACCCCTAACAATCTGAGATATTATCCCTTCCCATTCCCTTAGCCCAAGAATTACCAGTGGTAAAGGTGATTCATTCAATTATGGAGCTGGTCACTGGTCTTAGTTGTCTGCCCATTTATGCATTGACATGGGTATCTGCACTGTCATGATGACTCCTGTGAAGTAAACAGAAGTGTTTGTGTATTAGCACATGAGCTGATATACAGTGGCTTCCTATGTTCCTAAATCCTACAATTAAAATTGTAATAACACAATTACACCCCACAGCAACAAAGTGTAGCATCTTATTTCCTGCCCACTTTGGACTAAGATCAAACATACTTTCCCTCTTCACTCCTCTTTAATGGATGAAGAACAACATACCTCAAACTAATTACACATCAAACTGCAGTAATTATCATTACAAATTAGCTACTAAATGATTCAGAAATTTTAAAGTGAGAAAATGACCTTTGTGCATTGTGTTTGGCAGTAATAAATTGGATACCTTCATTATGAGAAAAGCATTACGTGATCTTCTTCAGCTTCAGATGAGTGTAATGTCTCATTAAAACAATCTGTATTACAAAACCACCTTGGTCTAGGCACACTCTTCCAAGCATAGCTCAGGAGGACACTTAGGGGAGGACATTTTGGCAAATTGCAGTGCATCATACACCGGCTTCCATGCTCACTCAGGGGAATCACTTTCCATCATCTTGTGAACCATGACAACACTTTTGGCAGGAGAGATGCTGAAGAAAAACGTGGTTTGGATGTTCATCATTAGATAAAATTTAACATAGCATTGTTTGATAAATATGTATACATATACTCCATAGATGCAAATGTATACTGAATCATTCATTCACTTTGTGGACAATTACACAGTTTTGATTTTTGGGGTAACAGTTTTCCTTCACAAAGTTTAGCCAACCATGCTTATAATGGAGAATCTAAACTGCAGAGAAGTATAACATATGAGCATCATTTCAACGATCCGTCTCTCCCTCCTGCTGCTAGATTAATGCTAGTGCTATCATAAGGACTTTCAACATTGAGTTTCTGTTTGAAGAGGTGCCCTTCACAAGTGGCCTTCAGCTATACCGGAGCAGCCTTTTCATTGTGCAATCACGTGGAGCTGAATCCAGGGATGAAGGATGACACCAAAGCGTGGTAACGTGGCTTTTTTAGCTCCCCAAATCCCCAACTAGCACAACCAGGCTCCTATTCGTTTTGCAGTACAAAACAGAACATTTACAAGCTTTCTAATGCTCTAACATTGATGGGACACATGTCTACTTTCTGCATAGAACTGGCACTTATTTTGTAATAAAGAAGACTCTCAAACCAACCCTGAAATTACATAATTCACATTGCTTTCTATAGTGTTTTGTGAATTCCATTCCTCGCCTGAGAGCTGCGTTTGGAGAATACCAAAGTCAACTTATGCTTCTATGTAAGACATCTTGTTTTCCTCTTTTCTCAATATTTGCTGTCTAGAATTAATTCCTGGCCTTGGATTGTGGTCTGTTAGCTAGGCTATCATTCTTCTCTGAACAATAAACTCCAACTGGTGAGCATCGCAGAACACTGTGGATGTCAAAAGAGATAGATTCATGCCAGCTGGTGGCCTCTTCCTTCTGCTGTGCCCTGGTTTTATAATAAATGCAACAAAATTACCGCAGTGCTATTGCAGCTGAATAGCAATTTGCATATGCTTTTTCAAAACATTTGGCAAACTCTCTTGCACACATGTAACTGACTATGACATGCCAACATACTGTAATTTTAGTGCCACCAGACCAACTAAAATTGTAGTACTGCATTCCATTATTATGACAATAAATAGGAGACCGTACCTTCTATAGCATATATATTTTTAAAATGCTTAATAGATTTATCTGAAATTTGACAGTCTTGGAAAGGTCAGCCTGAGAGAGATTTGTGCCATTATGAATGAATAGAGGGTAGGAAATGTCTATGGACAACTGCCTTTTCCATATCTGACAGGTAGTTTTTCCTGGGGTTAAATTTGCTGACTGGTTTTCCCGTTTGTACCAAGTATTTTGTACCATAGGAGCCCCCGGTGGCGCAGTGGGTTAAAGCACTGAGCTGCTGAGCTTGTTGACCGAAAGGTCGCAGGTTCAAATCCGGGGAGCGGTGTGAGCTTCCGCTGTCAACCCCAGCTTCTGCCAACCTAGCAGTTCGAAAACATGCAAATGTAAGTAGATCAATAGGTACCGCTCCAGCGGGAAGGTAACGGTGCTCCATGCAGTCATGCCAACCACATGACCTTGGAGGTGTCTATGGACAACACCAGCTCTTTGGCTTAGAAATGGAGATGAGTACCACACCCCAGAGTTGGATACGACTGGACTTCATGTCAGGGGAAAACCTTTACCTTTACCTACCATGTATTTGGCAGTGAATCATAAGAAGATCTAGTATGTGTTACAAAATGTAGTATTTATTTAAATGTGGTTTATTTTCCAGGTCATTTTAAGCTATGGAACTTATTGAGTTGGTATTGCACACACGCAAATATGTTGCAAATCTACAGAACCCTACAAGGGAGATACTAAGAGTTATGGAATATAAATTAAAAAGTGATATACCACTTCATCAGATGGGGTGATTTTAGCGTTCTAGGATACTTTCACCACATCTGGGGGATAGAGGCCAACACTGAGGCCACATCCCCAACCAGAGTGAAAGCATCTTTTGACACTTTCCCTGGCAATACAGGAGGCTTTTTGTGCTGTGCCAGCTCTAATGGAGCCGGCACAGGGCTTTCCCTCAATAGTGACACTTTTCCCATGTGATAGAGAAAGCATTGCGAAAAGGGAGCTGCACACGGGGCAACAGATTCACCTCGCTACTCCTTCTTTCCTTCCCCTGGGTCACTTCACCAGGGCTTTATTGATGAGATTGATAGGTAGGTAGTGGTGAAATGGTTGAAGATGCAGTGTAGGAGACCCCAACTTGAGAGGGAAAACCCAGTTTTTGAAAGAAATCTGAAATGAAGAATTTCTGGCCCCAAAATACCACGGAGGTGCACTAGAGGACTAAAAGATGCCTAGGAGGGATTCTTTTGTTGGATGTGGATAAATCAAACAGTAGATGTCAGTCCCATGGGTCGTACTGCATTGAATTATGTACTTGAGATGGCATCTAGTGCAGTAGAATCAGAAAGCACAACTTCTTTCATTGCTTTAGTGCAGTGGTTCCCAACCTTTGGTTCTCCAGGTGTTTTAGACTTCAGCTTCCAGAAATCCCAGCCAGCTAACCAACTGTTAGGAATTGTGGGAACTGAAGTCCAAAACACCTGGAGGACCAAAGGTTGAGAACCACTACTTTAGTGAATGGGGCTAATTCCATAGTTGCAACCCCTGCCTCTGCCATGGAAGCAAGCACAGGTAATGCCACTAAGTCTTCTTCCCGTTTCTCAAGTGGCAGGAAATATGTCCATCACCACCATTTCTATCATTGTCAGTTCTACTTCAGAGAGGAAGATGCAGCAGGCACTCTCATTAGACCAACTTCTTTATTTTGCCTGCATGTCCTTTTTATCTATACTTTTCAACAATTCATTTTTCGATGTCCACTGTTTCAATAAATTGAAATTACAGCCATATTCTACACCTTCAACCCCAAGTCTGCTTTTTCAACTGCTGGGTTTTTGTTTTGTTTTTTGACACATTGTTTTGTTTTGTCTTACTCAACTCGGCACCAGGGCTTAGCCTTGCATTTGCATGCTTAAAAAGAAAGGATTCCACTTTTCAACTGATTCCATTTCCTGATAGCGGTCCAGTCCATAACTGGACTGCTTCTCTTTTTCTGGAGTACCACATTCTCTGCCTTTTCCAGCCCAGGTGAGAGTAAGGCAATATATGAGTAGGGCAATATAAAGAAGTACTTTCTACCTAGGCAATAGAAAGCTCAAGCTACCCTCGCTCAGAATCATAGAGTTGGAAGAGATCACATGGACCATCTAGTCCAACCTCCTTCCATGCAGGAAAAGCATTATCAAAGTACACCTGACAGAAAGCCGTCCAGCCTCTTTTAAAAGCCTCCAAAGAAGGCACTTCCATCCGGGGCAGTGATTTCCACTGTTGAACAGCTCTTACAGTAAGGAAGTTCTTCCTAACGTTCAAGTGGAATCTCCTTTCTTGTAATTTGAACCCTAGTCCTAGTCTTCAGGGCAGCAAAAACAAGCTTGCTCCTTCTTCATCATGACATCCTTTCAAATATTTGTATATGGCCACCATCCCATGATATAAAACTACTTCCAGTGGGGCTCCGTGGCACAATTGAAGTAGGACCATTGTATTCTGCTACAGGAGGCTTTCTGTGTTGCATAAGCAACAACAAGGAGAAGCCAGGCAGCAGATGCTTTCTCCCCCCCCCCCCCCACGCCCACTGGGATGGGATAAGGGGAAAGCATGGTGAATCCCATAGTTAATGTGATGAGGTCCTAAGACTCCAAGATCTCTTTCAGATGTACTGTTGTCTAGCCAGGCATCACCCATCCTGTATCTTTGCATTTAATTTTTTTTGCCTAAATGTAGTATCTTACATTTCTCCCTGTTGGAAATCATTTTGTTAGTTTTGGCACAGCTCTCTAATTTGATATGTTCCTTTCGAATTCTGATCCTGTCTTCTGGAGTATTAATTTGGTGCATGTTGCAAACTTGATAAGCATGCCCTCTAAACCTTCAACCAAGTCTTTAATGAAGGTTTTGAACAGCACCGGGTCCAGGACCAAACCCTGCAACACTGCACTAATCACTTCTTTTCAGGATCAAGACGAACCATTGGTGAGCACTCATTGGATTCGATCACTTAACCAATTATAGATCCACCTAATAGTGGTATTGTCTAGCCCACATTTTATTAATTTATTTGAAAGAAAGCAATGCATTCCCTGCATCTACCAAGCTTGCAACTCCATTAAAAAAAGAGATAATATTAGTCTGACCTGTCTTGTTTTCGAGAAATCCATGTTGACTTTTAGTGATCATAACAACATTCTTTCCTAAGCGATCACAAACTGCCTCCTTAATGATCTGCTCCAGAATCTTTCCTGGTATTGATGTCAGGCTTGTGACATATATGAAAAAGCTAGTAAAACTAAAATGCTCCTCATGGCAAAAGGCACTCTGAACTGTGTTAGTGAAAGAGAAGTTTCAGTTAAAAGAAAATACACAACAAAGCTTGACACCACATAATCTACCTTTTTAAAAGATCTTCAGCAACTTTGGCTCTGTTTTGAATTTGCAAGACGGACAATAAATTTGTTTTAGGAGTAGGACAGTATGACCTTACATTCATCCAGGACTGATAGGTGTTTTCTTCAGGATGACCTCCAGACTGTTAGTACTATAGGATGGAGCTGAAAAAGTAAATGACTGCAGTCAAGGAGATGGCACGGGAAAGACTCAAACATGACTCAGTGGCTGAAGTTAATATACAAACCAGGTTAAATGGAAATAATGAAACTGAGACCTCTGAACAAAGCTTCAGGACCAACACCGTTATCTTGGAACTTTATCACATCAGTTTGTTGTCTCATAGCAATTGTGCTGTTTATGAAAATAGAAACATACCAGTATTGATATGATCATTTTCACACCTTGCTGCAATTACACTACATTAGTATTTCTAATGACATGAATTTCTGTGATATTCTTCCACCCAGCCTCACTTTATATGGATGTTTTCTCTACAGAACTCATGCATGCTGTGTTTTTTCCCTTATTTTGCCACAACTCTGTAAATATTCATTTAATTTCAATACAATACAATATTTATTACAGTCACTGACCAGCACGAAGCGGGGCACAAGTGCCCTGGGAAGGAAAACACAGCTCCCCAGTGAAGCAGTTATTTAAAAACAGATTCGAAAACAGTCTAAAATCACAGTTTAAAAACGCAGGTTAATGTAACAGGTATGGAACTGAGAGGGGGAAGATTGATATGAGGGGTCAAAGCACTGGGGGGAGTCACTAAAGGTTATGGGAGGGGCACATTACAAATCAAGTAGCCTTTCAGCTGTAACATGTTGCTCTAACTATGTTCCCAACAGGATGTTTTCTTGAAGGGTCAATCATCATCCATCTAATTTTAAGTGCTGCAGCAACACTGTAAGTTATTGTAGTGCTAGAGTCCGAAAGCAGCAGGGTGGAATAATATTTTTCAGTGTACCCTGTATATTTTAAAGCCATGGTGTAATGAGATTAGTTCTAAAGTCTCTGTAGAACATGCACTGAAGAAGCATGTGCTCCGTTGTTTCTACGTGTCCGGACTCACAGGGTCATAGTTTCTCCTTGAAGGGGGTTTTCCGATACCTCCCCTCCTTTACAGCCAATGGAAGGGCATGGCATCTTTCCAGGGTAAAAGCCCTTCAGTGTTTGGGCACCTCCAGGTCTGTTAGGTATGCCATGGGAGCATTGAGGTATCTATTGGCTTCCCTAACAATAAAGGCTGAGGAGCAGGCTAGGTCTGAATAGTCCTCTATGTCCAGGATCTGTTGCTTAATGAGATCTTTGGCATGGTCCCATCTCATGCTTAGAAATTGTCCTTGGGAGAAACCTAGTGTTACAATCTTTACTGCCACTGTTTTAGTCCATGTGGACTGGAAGTCATCCTTCATGGTTAGAGGGACAAGACCATATATGGAGAAGGATACACATAGCCAGTAGTTGAGAATGGCTTTCCATATTCTTGTCTCCACTTTCACAAAGTCTGTCTCCAATCATTAGAGAGACATCTGGGAGCCTGTAGAGCTGATCTTAGGAATTTTGATTGAACACGCTCTAGAATCATAGAGTTGGAAGAGACCTCATGGGCCATCCAGTCCAACCCCCTGCCAAGAAGCAGGAAAATTGCATTCAAAGCACCCCCGACAGACAGCCATCCAGCTTCTGTTTAAAAGCCACCAAAGAAGGAGCCTCCACCACACTCCGGGGCAGAGAGTTCTGAACAGTTCTTACAGTTGCTGAACAGCTCTTACAGTTACAAAGTTCTTCCTAATGTTCAAGTGAAATATTCTTTCCTGTAGTTTGAAGCCATTGTTCCATGTCCTAGTCTCCAGGGCAGCTGAAAACAAGCTTGCTCCCTCCTCCCTATGACTTATTCTCACATATTTATACATGGCTATCATGTCTCCTCTCAGCCTTCTCTTCTTCAGGCTAAACATGCCCAGCTCTTTAAGCTGCTCCTCATAGGGCTTGTTCTCCAGGCCCTTGATCATTTTAGTTGCCCTCCTCTGGACACATTGATATGTTAATGCTTTTAAATGTTTTAAATGTTTTTATGATGTTTTTGGCATTGAATTATTGCCTTGTGAACCACCTCAAGTCACCTGCAGGCTGAGAGGAGCGGTATACAAATGTAGCAAATAAATAAATAAATTCCAGCTTGTCAACATCTCCCTTCAATTGTGGTGCCCAGAATTGGACACAGTATTCCAGATGTGGTCTAACCAAGGCAGAATAGAGGGGTAGCATGACTTCCCTGGATCTAGACACTATACTCCTATTGATGCAGGCCAAAATCCCATTGGCTTTTTTGCCACCGCATCACATTGTTGGCTCATGTTTAACTTGTTGTCCACAAGGACTCCAAGATCTTTTTCACATGTACTGCTCTCGAGCCAGGCATCCCCATTCTGTATCTTTGCATTTCATTTTTTCTACCAAAGTGGAGTATCTTGCATTTGTCACTGTTGAACTTCATTTTGTTAGTTTTGGCCCATCTCTCTAATCTGTCAAGATCGTTTTGAATTCTGCTCCTGTCTTTTGGAGTATTGGCTATCCCTCCCAATTTGGTGTCATCTGCAAACTTGATGATCATGCCTTCTAACCCTTCATCTAAGTCATTAATAAGATGTTGAACAGGACCGATCCCAGGACAGAACCCTGCGGCACTCCGCTCGCCACTTCTTTCCAGGATGGGTCCGTCCGCTTGACCAATTACAGATCCACCTAACTGTAGTTTTGCCTAGACCACATTGGACTAGTTTGTTTGTCAAAAGATCATGGGGAACTTTGTCGAAGGCTTTACTGAAGTCCAGATACGCTACATCCATGGCATTCCCTGCATCTACCGGCATCTATCCAGCTTGTAACTCTGTCTTTTTTTCCCTTCTTGAAGACTGGGACCACATTGGCCCTCCTCCAATCTGCTGGAACTTCTCCCATTCTCCAAGAACTCTCAAAGATGATTGCCAATGGTTCTGAAATGACTTCCGCTAGTTCCTTCAATACTCTTGGGTGTAGTTGATCGGGCCCTGGGGACTTGAACTTGTTTAGAGTGGCCAGGTATTCCTGGGACATAATTTGAAATGGAGCCAAGCTGGACTGCATACAGCATTTGTGTGATTGATTTAGTTTCAAAAATGTGCTGCCTGTATAAAGTGGCCTCCTCCCATCTTGAGGTATCTTAAGATGGTGGACGAGCTTTTTTGCGCTGTCACTGCTGCATACTCTGTGTGGGCTAGTGCAATGGAGGATTACTCCTAGGTATTTAAGACTTGAAACCTGCTCAATTTTTTCCATCTATTCTCCAGTTGTGCTTCTTGGGTCATTTAGAGAACATCATAATTTTGGTTTTCTGAAAGTTGAGATGCAGCTGTTCAGTTTCAGCAGTCTTACAAGTCCTCTCTCCACTTTGCAATATCAAGATCACAGCTGAAAGAAAATATGCACAATAAAGAATAGCAGGGTAACAGCAATACTGGATTCATCAATGGGTTTTTTCCCATTAATCAATGAAAAAAGTGATTCAGTCATTATTCAAGTGCAGTACAACTACTGGACAGACCTGACATCATGCAATAAGCCCCATTCAAAGGTACATTATCCTGCCATAATTGTGTGTTATCAGCCTGATGTGATAAAATCATTGATTAATTACAGATAGATGAATAGAAACCAGAAGGCAAATACTTTCTGGAATACTTTCTGGAATCAGAGAAAAAAGTAGATGTTTTTGGTGATTAGCTATAAAATTTGACATAAGATATGAAACTGTTAGAAGCCCTCTTAAAATCAACAATAAAACTGTATACTGTATTTCCAGCGCTAAAGGGTGGTCATAACACTTTCTCATACAATGATTAAAGGTCCTTTATACCTAACTACAATAGGGTGGAAGCATTATTTCCCCAAATTTTACAAACAGTAATTTATTTCATACCTTAAGGTTAAGTTTCAAAAATATGCTGTGCTTCAGCAACCTTGAAAATTAGAATTCCCTCTTTTTTAAAAAAAGACGGACAAATAGATGGAGCATCTTTTTAAACTAAAACAGCATTTGGAGATATAGCATTGACTATGTTCTGTGGAAATCATTTAATATGTTCCACCTGGAATTTGTACTGAGGTGTTACTGTGGTGTTCCATTTACTTATGGTTATCCTTGAAAACAGATCCAAGCATATTATGTCTAAGTGTTTCACAAATGCTGATGCATTTTTTCATATGAGCCTTTGGAGCACACTCCACACACCATTTCAGAATTAGGTTTTGTGAAATTATGCATTGGTATTTAACAAAGTGACTCCTGAGCCATTAATACCACTCCCATGTGCTCTATCACACTTTAAAAGCAGATATAGTGCTGTTGTTGCTGAAGCACTAGGAATTATAGCCTCTTCGCTCTAATGCATTCCACTACCTGAGATGATAACTATTGCCAGTGAGGAAGCGATAAATTCTCTGCCTTTGGTCCTTATCAACTCCTGAACAGAAATGTCTCCAAGATTTTCTACAAATCAACCTCTAAGAGTTGAAAGAGCAGGGACAAAAAAGAAGTGGTTAAAACTACAATACAGAAGGCAAAGAAAAAAAATAGCCTAGCACTTAAAGTCGATTTATATTATGAATGTGGCCCTTCAAATTGGGTCAATCAATAGACTGCAGCCAGCATAGGTGCTATGAACCTCTTTACAATGCCATTGGCTGGAAAATCTGCCTTGGGCATAGAATTATTTGAAAGTAATTATAAAACTCATTGCACTAATAAAGTGCTTCAACTCAGTGAATTACATTTTAATTGTACCTTCATTATACACTTTTTACTCCAAAAGCAACTTCTTAATGGTATTATCCGTAAATATTTGGCCAGTATTGTTAGTGATGTAATACAGCCTTCTCATAAAGGCCAGCATTCTGCTTCACCTGGTATTCAGGAGGAAAGAGGGAGCAGCGAGGTAGATTTGTCACCCCAAATGCAGCTCCTTCTCTGCAACACTTTCCCCATGACATGGGGAAAGCGTTGCCCTTGAGGAGAGGCCCCGTGCTGGCTCTGTTGAAACCAGCACAACATGAGAAGCCTCCTGTGTTGGTCAAAAGCATCTGGCAATGGTTTCACCTCAGTCAGAGGTGAGGCCTCTGCTGGAACTCACACAA